ATAATAATAATAATAATAATAATAATAATAATAATAATAATAATAATAATAATAATAATAATAATAATAATAATAACAATCCTAATAATTAAGGCCTTATCCGCATCACAAACTCAGGTCGAATCTGCTGCTGGGCTCGCTAGGGGCGTCGGGCCCATCTCGACCTTGATGCTCAGCTTGCCGGAGGCCCTTGCGTCCGCCGCCAGTCCTTGTGTCCGTCGCCGACCCTTTTTTATTAATGGGGTTGAAGATTTGAATAAATTTTGAGCATTTGCATAAATGAAAGGGCTTAATAGAGGTTTTAAGATTTTAAGGTTGAAGGAATCGTCAGGTCCTTAGGTACGAAGGTTTAATTTAAAGGGCAATTTTCATAAATTTGAGTAGGGCTTAAGGACAAAATAGGAATTTTAAGAATCCAATGAAAATACAATCATTAAATGAAAATGACTTGGAAAAAAGCTTAGGTGTTATTTCTATTTTTATTATTATTATTATTATTATTATTATTATTATTATTATTATTATTATTATTATTATTATTATTATTATTATTTTACAGTTTTATCCAGTTGTACGTGCCTACTTGGCAGCTAAGGTGCCAGCCACATCATGTCGAAAAACTGAAAATGGACCTGACTGGGTGCCATGTCATGCCACGTCATGTTTTTATCAAGGGTGTGGATAAAATAGGACCAACTTTGATTAATTGGACAATTAGGACCCAGAATGAAAGTGGCCAATGATGGGGTGGGTTTTTGGAAAGTGGCCAAGTTAGAGAACCAATTTTGAAATTATGCCCGTCAATACCCTATCCCTCCACCTAGTTTCAATCCCGATCCACGTCATCTCGTAATTACGCCAACTGGAGTAGTGTACTAAAACTGATGAAAGTGTAACAAAATGGACCATTTTTTATGAGGGGAAAGATAGTGTACCAAAAGTAGACAATGAACAAGTTAGCAGACCAAAATTAGATTTTTGCTGAGGATGGGGTAAGCACTGATGAAAAAGTTGAAGCATGAATGCTTGATACAGTATAATCATATATATGAGTTTACATATATTCACAAAGTATTTAATAAAAAATGATTTCAATAGCACTGACTTGTCATTGGCTTTGCAAATGGATGCTTAGGATATTGAGAATGCAATGAGATTGTTTTCTATATCAAAATTAAGGTTGCACTCAATGAGAGTCGATAGATGGGAATATCTTGAATGAAGTTTATTCATTTTTTTTTATATGTAAGAAGTCGTAGTACTAAATATGGATGAAAAATTCACAGCTCATTGTCACATAAGGAAAAGAACTCAACAAAAGACAAACTTGGTTCATAGCCATTGCGAATTATTTTATATTGTTCTATATAAAGAACTCATGGAGTTTAATAACTTTTTTTTTTCTGATTGAAATATCGAGTTACTTCTTTATGTAGATACCTTAATCCAAGAATACATTCCGTGCTTTCAAAAAGGAAAGTCTGATAAAAAGTTCTCGGCTATACCCAAATGTTTTTCTTTTTAATATGACATTTTGGTGCTTGATAATCAACTTGATGATTATATTATTACTGAAGTGAGTACAAGCAATAAACTTTCAATGGTTGATGATATCGCAGACTTCAATTTTATAATGGCAGAAACTAGAAGACGAGTCATATCCTTTTGTCTGTATGCTTATTATTTTAGAACTGGCTTTGTCGGTTGCTGCCTCGACTGTGGAGACGACATTTTCTGCAGTGAAAGATGATCGACTTAACGCTTGATTGGTTACGTATGTTGAAAGATATGTATTTTCATAAATCACCAATGAAAGCTATTTTCAGACTATGTCTTGTGAACATTTATAATAGCAAGATATATGTTTTAATTCATTTTATTGTCCTTTCAAAATTATTTCACATTTGTTGCCTCCTCTCAATTTATCTTTTGGAATTGCCCTATAAGTGCATTACATGATAACTTTGACCAAAAAGAAATTTCGTTTTGCAATTATCTAAACATAAAAGGAGTTTCATCAAGATATAGGGAAATGCTACGGTCCTGTCATGGAACTATTCCGTCGTGGTTTGTAACTGTTAGATCAATTATCCCCGACGGTTACATGATGTTCTAACGGTTACAAACTTCAACGGAATGGTTCCGTATTATCCCAACTGTTGTTCATATTTTCAGCTTGTGGGCTGCATGGACTTCCTCGACTCGTAATGTCACACCTCCTTGACTTTGGGTTTATTCTTAACTAGTATTCATTAATTTGCTTTTGTACAACCGCGTTAAATGATGCTTCTATGGCTTCAAATTATTTCAAAACAGGTTGAAAACTAACATTTGAAAAAAA